TGAAATCTGGATCTACATTAATAATCATACTTTGTACATCCACATCGGTTTTTCTAGGATAATTTCTTGGTCGTCCTATTTCATATTGTTGATATTTTGGAGAATCAGAAGTATCTTTTACAAACAACATTGACGGACCAGCTGATCTTGAATAATCGTCGCTGTATCTTGCAAGACCAAGTATGGTTGTAGCTACGTCAACATCTTTTTGAATTGATTCAATATTTTTCCGTCAATCATGTACGTAGCGCTATCAAACAACGCCATAATACCATTATTAACAAAACCAACACTAATTTCGGCTGCATATTCAGTATTATCGGTTTTTAATATTTCACCTTCGACTTCAATAAAAGCTTCTGAGGGCAGAAAATATCTACTTGTATCATGAACCTGAAGTTCAATTCTTCCTCGTTGATTTGGAATTCGTACTTCATAAGAATAATACTGATAATCGTGTATAGACTCATCTTTGAGAACTGGTGCATCCATGTCAAACGCGGGGTCACTCAAACGCTTGAACATATTTATTATAATTATTATCGTCTAAAACGAAGACCATTTCGGGAAGTGAGACCACTTCCTGCTATCACACTAGCGGTTAGGTTTCTCTCTTTTTCTGATAAAGGTATATCAGCCATAGATGGCATCGCCATTGCTGTTTTTGATTAGCGGCTTGATTATTATTTTACTTACACTTGCGGGCATCACTTCAGTACTGGACAATTTCACCGACTGAGATCGGACAGGTTGTGGTCTGCGTATTAATCGTGTTAGTCTATCTTTGATCGCCGAGAATACTTTACTGGCAAGGTTACCAGCAACACCTATACCTTTTTCACGAACAACATCAATAGCTTTCATACCCAGCTGTTTTGCAATTGGTATTGCTTTTGGGGCTAGTCTTCTAAACAAACCATGAACAATATCTCCTAACCCATCTCCGTAGTTTGCTCTGTAAATCGGTATTCGAGAATTAATTTCCCTGACCATGTTTGGTCCACGTTGAGCATTGTGTATTATCATTTTATTATTAATTGACTTTATTACTAATTGTATCTAATCACTGTGACTTAGTCACTGTGACTTAGTCACTATAATAGTCATCGGCAATTTCATTAATAAGTGATCGATACACATTAATATCCATAATACCGCCACTAAATAATCTTTTACAAATATCTGCTGCTTCATTAATGATTTCTGGGGAATTATTACCAGCTCGTTTTCCTCCAATAAGAATTTCTAGTCGTTCAACATCAGCAAGGACGTTGTTAGGACACTGAGTAATAAGACCACTTCCTAAACTACTTCCAGTTGCACCAGAAGTGTCTTAAAATACCTTTTCTTCACTTGGATTCGGTGATATTTTTTTACTTGGTGTAGATAGAATTGGTATTCGTGATTTTGGTGATCCTGGATAATCACTTTGTGATTGCTCAAATGGTTTTGGTTCTTTTTGTTTTGAGAGTTTTTACTTTGTTTTTACTCCTCTTTTCTTGATTGGACTAAATCATCAATTGTCTTAGCATAATTTCGATATAATGGATCATCAGCTCTAGCTTATTCAACATTCATGTGTATACGATATAATACTTTCTACCATTGTTCACGGGTTTTAATATCTTTAGCATGTTCAGGTTTCATTAATTTACCTCTTTGACTAAAACCATCCACAGCAAATTCAGCTAATTGTTGTGGTTTTAGGTTCTTAATTACTTTAACAGTTTCTTCATTAAATTTATCTATTAATTCAACTTCTGGTTCAGTGGCTAGTGCTTCAGCACCTTCTTCTGCCTGGTCTGCATATTCAGGCATTTCTGGGACTGGCACTGCAGCAGCTATTTCAGCTGGAAGTTTTTTGAGAATCATTTATGCTTTCTTAGTTCGTTTTGCTATTTTTTCAGCAGTTTCAACTGTTTTTTGTAACACAGGTTGAATACCTTTAGTGGTCTCAGTGATAGGTTTAAATAACTGTTTTGTATCCTCCTCAAATTCAACTTGAGATTCCTGACGCGATTGTAGTTGTTGTTTGACAGCATCACGGATAGGTAAATATTTTTTAATTGTCTCTAATCGCTCTCGACCTAATTTAACTGAGAGTGGTTCGCCAATATTTATTATTAAATAATATTTATAATAGATGTTTAATTAAATTGAGTGCTGGTTTACAAAAATCGCTAAAAATGCTTTTCTATTCTCTGACAAATCAAAGATAAAATAAATCTTTTTTCTGACAATTATTACCTAATTATCTGTTACCTTGCGTGTCGGACTGCGATCAGGGATTCATTTAAAAAATGCCTCACAAGATAATGCAGTCGCTCGGTCGCCTGATATATTCGGCCCACAACACGGTTCGGACGCTAGCATTGAACCTCGCACTTAAGGCACAGTCTGTGCCTGCATCGGTCTATACGTAGTACATTCAAGCCACACATACCAGACCTAGCAGCGCCTAGGTACACCTGTCTTCGCACTTCAGACACTCTGTGCCTGCATCGGTCTGTACGTAGTACATTCAAGCCACACATACCAGACCTAGGCGGCTAGGTACACCTGTCTTTGCACTTCAAACACTCTGTGCCTGCATGGGTCTATACGTAGTACATTCAAGCCACACATACCAGACTTAGGCGGCTAGGTACACCTGCCTGTCTGCCTGCCTGCCAGCCCCAGATCGTCCGCAGCCTATGGGTACCCTGTACCAGATAGCGCCTAGGTCAGCCTAGTCAACAGCCTCAGTATTATCCGTATAGCGAACAATGAGACAGGGTGCTTGCTCGGTTCGCCAGGTCGCTATACACATTCTATACAAATGCTACACCAATTTTGTTCACTTCCACTGAAGCACCCTAAATTTGCATTTTTGTCTATATAATAGTACCGGAAACGGTATGTGGGTAGTTAGTTAGAAATGTTTATATCCTTCCCCGTTCATTTCAAACCATACGTCCCGCTAAACGACCACAGGCTTTGTCACTACGAACCCGGGGGAAAATCAGCTCTGCTGGTATCGTTCACACACACTAAACCCACAGCTAATGTATTGCGTCCCATATAATAGTACCGAAATCTATGTGTGGGTAGTTTGTTAGAAATACCTGATAAAGAAACAGTCTAGCTAAGCGAGAACCCGGGAAGAAATTTCAGGTCTTGCGGGAAGAATCAGCTCTGCTGGTATCGTTCACACACACTAAACCCACAGCTAATGTATTGCGTCCCATATAATAGTACCGGAAACGGTATGAGAGTAGTTAGTTAGAAATACCTGATAAAGAAACAGTCTCGCTAAGCGAGAACCCGGGAATAAATTTCAGGTCTTGCGGGAAGAAAGTTACGGGCTAAGGAGAGTTTCTAACTAACTACCCACATACCGTTTCCGGTACTATTATAGGGGACAAAATGCAAATTTGCAGTGGGTTGGGTCTGAACTATATTGTCATAGATAATTCCCCGAGCTCGTGTAACAACCCAACCCGTGATTAAAAAGAGAAGAATGTAAACATGGACCGAAAAAAACAGCCTGGATATTAAACCTATGGACCGAAAACAGTCTGGGGCAATATGGACCGAAAAAAACGATCATGAGGCAGTAAATCCGTAAACACTATGGACCGAAAAATGGCCTGGATATTAAGCTTGTCAACACTATGGACCGAAAAAAATAGCCTGAGCAGCATGGAGGGTGAATCTCTACATGATATTGCTCGAGTTTTTAACGTAAAAAATAGTTTGATAAAGTCAGGGTAAAAAATGTCAATAATAGTATAACAAAACTGAGCTAACCTCATACTATTCATTATGCGGTTTTTAACCGTCCGTACGGTAATATGAAAGTTAGATATTTTGGTTTAGGATTATTGACCTTTTTTCAGCCTCTATAGGAACCCTTATTTCAGGTTAATTTCACGAGCAAAATTTTGTAGGATTCACCCCCCCTCCTGCTGCTCACGTTTTCTTATTCTGATACGCTTGCCAACTCGGTTCCGTTGATATATGCATATATGTATGGTATAGTATGGATTATTGCATCATCTGGCACATGACTGCCTTGATTTGTAGTTGCCTATCATTGTCCACTCTCGTATTTTGCAGATATCATTACGTTATCCTTTCTATAGGAATTACTTGAAGATTTCCTGTTGTACAAGCAACAGTACTCAGCACTGTCGTTCAGACATCCGATAGTTTAAAAGGAGAAGTAAAATTATTTGTTTTTCAAACTAACGTATAGACAGCTTGCATTGTTGTGCAAAAAGGTTTCTAATGTTAGTGTAATCTTCAACTGGTAAAATACACAATACGTTTCAATAAATGTCATCGCGTATATCTGGGACCCACTTAAATCCAAGGCCTATTTGTGATATGAAAATGGTTTAAAATGTAGACTTTATTAAGATGTTTATTTTAATCTGTTCTAGACGTTGTTTTTTTTTCTTGATTGCAGTTTAATTCCATCTGCTATATGAGAAGTAAGGAAAGATCCAAAATGTCGTAGCCACTTTGGCTCGTTGCCAATATTGCAACCAAAACTTTATTCATCTCTGAAAGAAGCTGCATGTATTCGTTGTCAAACACTGAGAAGTTTTAGTGTCATATTTATTAAGTAATTTTGGGAGCATCCTTACATGTATTCATATTTAAATTCCAATAATGAGTTTGTGAATACTCTCTTGAGAAAGATGACCTGTGAGCAACAAAAGCTTTTGTATTTACATCTGATGTTTTATATTGTTTTTTATATTGACTATATCGATTCGGATAATGAAAATATTGTTAAATAGATATTCCATGTCTTCTCCTCTTTCCAAGGACAGCAAAACAACCGTTACAAACTAAAAGGTACTCAAACATGCAAATACGACAGTAATTTGTCTCCTAATGAGACAGACCCAGTCACGTTATCATGACACCAGGCCGACCAGTCTTAACAGTAACCTCCTAACGTTAAGCGCCATGCGAAGTAGCTGTAAGTATCATTTTTTAAGTTTTTGGTATGGCTCAGTCAAGGTTCGAACCCGCGACATTCCGCTTCTGAGGCGGACGCTGTAACCACTAAGCCACCGGAGCGGTCAATGATATTTGTTGTAGTCCTCGTAATCATTGATCCTTATGTGTGCGTTTAGTCCTTAATGATAATTTGCAAATGGATGGTACTTTTAATAGCATATTTTTATACGGTAATGATGTTACGTTCGTTCCCGATTTTGCCGGTTTTAGACCTTGGCGAAAGTTTAAGTAATAAGTCCATACGTGTAGATTCGTCTGCCTTTTTGCATTTATTATGAGGTGCCCAAAGGTAGCACCCGCAGTTCTTTCAGTAAGAATAGCTTCGTCCAAAATGCCCAGACTCCTCGAGGGTAACGTCAGAGTGAAGTGGGTTTTTTATTACCAGGGGACTGAGTATAAATTGTTTTGTCCGCTTCATATGATGTCTCTGGATTGCCTGACCCATCAACAGTGGCTGTAAAACTACCATTTAGCAGAATTAGCCTGTTTGTCAGCCCATGTTCTGCATTGCCAGATACTTTGGAAGTGATCACAACGCTACTGAGCGATTGGTCAACAACTAACTTACTTGCTGCATTCGATGTTTCTGTATTGTCTGACCCACCGGCAGTAGCTACATGATTACCAATAGAAAGTTTGTTAACCATCTTGCCCACTTGAACAGATGTTTCTGCATCACCAGATCTCTCCAATATGACTAAGCAGCTACTAGCCAAGAGGTCATCAACTGTCATGTCTGATTCATTCTGTCGAGGTGACTTGAGTGCTTGTTGATATGCATTAGATACCGGCTGAGGTACGTGAATAACTATAGAGGGAGGGAAATCGTTATCTATGATCTTATTTGGATTAAAAGGCCAAAGCTCGCAGGCTTCAAAGACAGTAACAGCTTTCTGTAAGTTGCATTTATGTTGTATGCCTCCGAAAACAAAGCACACCTTGGTTTTCCTGTATACCTTGTTATCCAGTTTCCAAACACCAAATTATAAGCACATTTTACTGCCTTGAAACAGGTGGCATCATGGGACTGGAACCGATGTTTGCAATGGGAGGAAAAAGCATCGACACAATTCTTTTCTAATGTGCATAGAGAACAGCTTCAAACGTTTTATGGCCTTGGTGAACATCAAAAAGAAGAATGTGTGGAGATTCCTTCGCATATTTCACAAAATTAGTGAAATCTAGCCATCTCAAGCAAATCTGACGGTGTGTCTTTACCAACACCAGCCATGTGTTTCAACTGGTGTTAAATATTATTGCATAATACCATGCGTGCGAATGCAGACAACAATAGCCGCCATTCACGAGGCCTGTGAAACCTGGTCTGCTTGCAATAGAGAGACAAGTCCATTCTCTAACGCAAGAACACCATAATGGTTGAAGAGGAGGGGGCGTTTTGCCCCACGGAGTGGTTTTGCGCCCATCTGTTGTTCGTTTAGCTCAGGCCATCTAAGTACAGGATTATAATTCTACCTAAAATCCTTTCTACAATAGACAGCTCTAACCAGGATATGAAATATATTGGTGTAAAAAGACCTACCATCTGCAGTGCATATTATATTTTAAAAATCAACCTGATTTTATCTAAAAAAAAATTCCCAAATGCATAACATTTTTTTTTAAAATGCACTTCCTGATCTGTGTAATAATCTGTAATTGTTATCAGCGTAGTTAAACACTTGTCCTAGTCAGTACAATACCACGGTAATTACATACTTGCCCTGATCAGTGAAATATCAGTGTAATTATTAATCGTTCTAGTAAGTATCACTTGTCCTAGTCAGTTTAATATACCTGTAATTGTCACTTATCTTGACAAGTGTTGTGTCATTGTAATTACTAGTAGATACTTGTCTTGAGTAGAGAAATACCGCTGTGAGTATCAATATTATCAATAATATGTTTATTGTGAATGGGCACGATAACTGCTATGTTAACTCCATTTGCTCGTTTAAAAAATTGTATTAACAAGATTTAATTGGAAATGATCAAGAATATCAAACGAATTAGCAATAATTTCCAATCTTATATTTTCTATCCTGCAGAAGTTTTGCTTGGACGTAACGAAACCTTTTTTTTAAACTTTCATCTATCGTAATACTGATATCTTAATGAGTATTTCAGGTGAGTCCTTACATGGTCTAAAGTACCTAAATCTTCAAAAAGTAGTTCCCCACCAAAAAAGCGAATTCACGTCACTTCTTCGCGTGCCTTATTATTTTATTTTACATTACTTTCACTCTGACACGCCTAATGCGATTTTCTACTGCCTTGACCCTATTATTGCATTTATATTCACATTTAATTCAGCTCTTGATTTTCATTAGAGAAACTCTATGGTCTTAAAGTAAGAAACAGAAAGAAATAAAACCAAGAAGTTTAGTAAAATCAACAAATTAATTTATTTAACACATGTACAAAGTAAACATGCAAGCGGAACTTACAGTATTGTGAATAGGATTCCCAATAAAAATTAAAAATTCAATCACAAAGTACAGATGGTTCCGAGTGAATTCCATATTGAATGAGGCGATGAACCGATAGTCTATTACAGGCTGATGTACCAAAAGCCTTGATGTATCAAATTTATATAATCAAAATGTTTTTAATGAATTTACAATAATCTGAAAATAGTTTTTATGGCCAAAAAGTCAACTAGTACTTTGTAATTCCATTAAATAAATCCCCTAAAATTATACCTGACCAAAAAATCCTGAACTTAACGCGGGATTAATTACTTTTGTATACCACAACCTTAAAAATGTGACACTAAAATGTCCATGAAGTGTCCAGAGCATTCTAAGTTTATAAATAAAGCTAGATATTGCACTCAAATATTTGTAAACAACTTCTTCTTAACTAAACAAACATGACAAAGATATGTAAAGTCATGCTACTAATAGTTTTATCCAGTTCATCAAAATGTACTTAATACTACAGCCACGTGGTCACTTAGGTCTGTCACGATGTAAAGTGTTACGATAGGGTTTAGTTATACCCTAGAGTGTCATGGGGTTTAATTAATTATTTTTATTCCCGTTTATGGTTTTGGTTATAAGAAAATGGGGTGGGGTGTTTCCAATATTTATTTAGGTATTGCACCCACCCAGGCTCGATTATGGTTCAGAAGTTAAGTAGGTGAATATGATTCTGAGCCACCAGTCAGCAATGCCGACAGTTAAATAAAAAGTACTAAAGGGTGAAATTAACCAGTTAAATACAAAAATACAAAGGGGTGGAATAGAATAAAACAATTTAATTAATAATAAAATTTCAACATGAGAGCTGCCCAATCGCTCGACCCTTTTGTGCCTATTTCATCATCTGAATCAGTGTGAGAATTTCGCCCTGTCCTTGGTTCCACTCATCTGTCTCTCTAAATTTTTCCTGCACTCCTCCTTTACTCCTTCGAATTTCCTCTCCACTTCTACTCCTCCTTTGCTCCTTCGAATTTCCTCTCCACCTCCACTTTCCTTTCCGTCGACTTCCTCGTCGAACCGTCGACTCCAATCCGTCGACCCTGACTATACCGACAGTCTTACTTCAGTCTTCTCTCTCAGACTCTCGGGACTCTCCTTCTAAATGAAGTTATCCCACCCGGAAAGCTTCCTGTAAAACATAAGGAGGGTGAACTATTTTGCTTGGCACATACTCTCACACTACCCAGATAACTTATCATCAGATAAGGCTATCCAATTTCATGGGTCACGCATCCATTCCCACCGAAATACTCATGCCTTCATGGATGGTAAACACAATGTAAAATCATAACATAATAACACATAATAAAGCACGATATCAATTACTCGTATACAGGCAACGATAATTGATTCACATCAATACATAATAACCAACACATCTATTTTGCATCACAAATCATACATATATATAAATATGAAACTATCTATGCTCTGAACATATTCAAACATACATTCATAATCTTGCTTACATCAATCATCTAGTAATCTGCCTCGGTCTACTAAATAATTCTGGGATGGAGTCAGTTTGATATCCTCGAAACTTAGAGGTATGCCCACCCACTAGCTTAATTCTGATTGGATGCGGTGGACTAACCATTCCCAAGTTGTAAATCAGCGGAACTATCAATATAAGTTGCCTACCATTTTATTACAAATGGCTCTTTTGATATCTTACTAAAGGATTAGCACCCAGGTGTAATTTATGATGCCCTGTTCTGCACAAAGAACTTTTTGGCGACTACGTCTCGCTTGGCTTCTTGCTCGCGGCGTTTGTCTACAGATCAAACACCGGATTAGTGTCAGTTGGATAAACATCCGTCCACCTAGGTAGACCGTGACATAAAGAATGTTTGCTTTTTTCATCGTCTCAAATCAGTATCATGATTACACTATTACAACATTATTATCTTTATATTATTACTAATTTTATATACAAATACCGATGAATTGTCAAAAATTAACAGAATACAGTACGCAGAATTCATCCCATATACATAAACGCATACCTAAGAATCACTCATACAGCCACTCATTTGCTATGACCAATATTGTGTCAATTTATAGACCTAGTAACCTTCGACCACATGTGTAAATAGGTGGGCTTTGTTACTCTTGTCTATATTACGAAAAGCGTATTCATATAACTAGAGAAAGTAAAGGTTTTACTTGACGTTCAAGCATTAAAATCTGATTTAAAGCTTTACCCAGTTGATTATATTACACAATATAGATTTTCTTGTAATTTAGTTTGGTGGTTTCAATTAATCCTGAAAATTAACATCTTCATACCAAATAACATATTAATCCGATTGAAAAATGTATGTAGATCTGTAGAACACACAGAACATGCAAATGCATGAGCATGAGAATCGAAACCCTTTTGTCATGCTTTGTCCACAGACAGATATATGTTGGCATTCAAAACGGGTCATTGTTAAAAAGGATCTTGTAACTATGTACAAAAGCAATAACATTTTACCACTGTTCAAAACCGAAAAGGATTGATTTCTGACCCTACAATTTTTATCTACTGATTAATCAGTCCTTTTGTCCTCTTTTCAGGAAATAAAATCGTTCATC